CCTTGGTTTACTTCTGCGACAAAATGAGTTTTCTCCCGACTTTGAACGTTTGTAACTTACATTGTAGTTCATGAGCAAGTGAGATATCTATCCTAAAATCTTCCTTGATAGATCTTTAAGTTTCATGAAGGAATCGAGGGGAGAAACACTGGAATGGGCTGGCGGGCTCCATTTTCAGATGGAGGAGCAACACCACGAATCGTCTTCTCCCTCTGCGGGAGGTAGAAGACGATGATGTGGCTGGTTCAACTAAACCGACTATATCAACTCTAAAACTGACCCTCTTTAGTTTTTTATTAAATTGAACCCCTTTCTAACCGGTTCTTACAAAATTCTCAATGGTTTCAGAAACTATTCTCATTCAGGAAGCTACTACAAAAAATTCGGAGGAAAACGAGTACTGAAAGCTCAAGAAATAGGATTCCGAAGTCGAACAAAAGGTAACTAGTCAGCTTAGACTTTTCTCAAGAAATACTTTGTAGGAATCACTTGGACATCTATATGAACCTTAAAACAAGTGTGAACTAAGGTTCCATGAAAGAAAAATCCAAACAACCATGAGTTAAGACCCCAAACCAATCAAGTCTCTCGAGATTTAGGTAACATTTAAATCACCCACTAAATGAAATCCGCTTCATATGAAATTTTAAGATGTGCATATTGTATTATGTTGGGCTTATATATGAAATTTGATAGTCATTGTATACGATTAGATAGGAAAACCAAGTAACAGTGGAAAATGACCATAATGCTCCTAAGGAGGACCCCCTATAGTTCGAAGCCCTAAACGACCTCCAAATATTATCAAAAGCTACATGAATCCTTAGCTTAGGAGTTGTTTAAGTTAGGGGAGTTTGAGAGTCATTGGAAAACATTAGGAGCGAAAACCAAATATGGGGTAAAATGTTCCTTACAGTCCTTACGACCTTACCTCCTAGGGCGACTAATGAGGTATCCATGAAATAGGTGACTCCCCACATGCACCATTGGCCGCTAACAAGACTTTACATGCTCAAGATCATGTTGGGCTATTTCTAAGAAGAACTCTTACGTTTCAAGCTTAGGCCAAAACATTAGACAAAACAATATTTTAAAACATGGACAAAAAGATGAAGACCGGCGCGTGCAAAGTCTAACAGATTTCAAGTTTGTTTCCTTAATCACTCGAATATATCCGGCATTATTGAAAATGATTATTTGATAAGGGTAATTTAGTTGAAAAAGTTAATAACTCAAAAAGTTAGATTGAATCTAAAAAAATGTCATAACTAAACCTAACCCATGAATACCATAATAAAATACCATTACCGAAAATAAATACATTGAAATGCTAAACTTATAGTTTTAGAGTGTTAAGACCTAGAACTTTAGAACATTAGTCAATGATTATGCCATAACAGAGTACGTTAAAGCATGAGAGATGTTAATTAATTAAACTCATAGGGATTACAGTAACTTATCCTTACTCCGAATATAGGTTAAGATTATAAATCTTATTACTCTCCTTTCATTCTTCAATCTCGAAAACTTCTCCCTTCAATCAATAGATATAGACTATAACCAAAATAATGGAACCACTAAGTAACTTTAGAATTTCAATATTTTAACAATAAAAAGAAGTAGAATTAAAAATTAAAATGAAAATATATAAAAAAAATTATAGACGCAATAATATATTTAATAAAAGAGTACATATATATCTTCAAAGATATTAGATATTCGAATCTTTAAGCCTCTTAATTAATAAAATAAAATAATAATGGAAAGCTAAAATCTTTTTAATATGGTACGACTGTAACGGGGCATGATGATGCAATGAGGTTTGGGAATTGGAGAAATTGATCGAGATGAAAAAACTTAAAAAGACAAATAAAATTCCTTATTTTCCTCAACCTAAGATCCAACAAATGAGTTTACACCAAACATTTGTCAACAAGAATTCCATCATGCCTGTACCTTTTTCTTGATGTGTTATTTAATTAGCCCACATTTATAAATTTTAATTTTATGCCTAATAAATTTATAAAATTAAAAAAAAAAAATTAGGGAACTATGTGACATTTTCAAAATTTACGACCTATTTAAATAATATCTAAATTTGCAAGGATCTATTAGACCTAAACATAAAAGTTAACGAACTAGAATGGTAATTTATCCTTTTTAGTTCAAATAACCAAACTTTTTTTTTTAATTTTTTCTTAATACAACAAATGTGAATATGAAAAACTTGGAACATTTCATCTCAAAGAAATAGTATATGATTGTTTTATAAGTGTCGATATGATTGTTTTAATTTTTTTTTTAAAAGTTAAAAGTGCTAAAAACATTAAAACACACCATTATATGTTTGACAAAATTAAAATGATGTCAAACTCAACATAAATTAATACATCGAAGAACAATCCATGATGAATGACATTGGTATTGTATGCTATTTTTTCCTATTGGAGGAGGTTTAGGACCGGAAAAGGAAGACATGATTCACATATAATACAACATCATAAAGCTATGAAAAATTATTTATTTATGACCTCACTTTTTTTTATTTTATCAATACATGCTAAATGTGAGTCTCAAATGAGAATATTTGTTAAAAATACCACACGGAATGAAAGTTTTTTTTTCTAATCATTTAGAGAATAAATAGATTACAAAAAATACGAGGGGAATAATAGATGAATACAAGATATTTACTTGTAATAAAAGGGCAAATATGATAACTATAGCAAGCCTTAATAGAAAATATTTGTTTATAAGAAAAGATCAAATATGATATATATGGTAAACTATAATTCATGACTATATATCTGTAATGACCCGATTTTTTAGGCTTCGAAAATCGAATCAGGACTAAAAGACGAAAGCGAAAACAAATAAAAATTAAAAAGAAAATAAAATAGAAGATAAAAATTTGATAAAATTAAAACAAGAAAAGGAAGTCAACGACACCAAAATTAAATTCAAATATTACAAATGGGAAATACAAAAGACTCCAAAAAGACCAGGACTAACGCTGTGGAACAACACCCCTTTGTGACACCTCCCCACCTCGACTGGTACCTGAAAAAAAAAAAGTAGAAAGATACTCAGTAAACAACCTACTTGTAGGCTCTTTTCGCATCCTTATCTTAGTAGGTTTCGACGGTCTTATCTTGGGGTTCTAGTGAGTCGAACTAAGTTGCAACTCTCTTTTCTGTATCTTAGGAGGCTTGCCCATCTTATGCATTGGAATGATCAGTGTCTTGAGGTGAGGCACGACCTCACAAGTAACCTAAGGGGATCGTATGACTAGATCTGAATAAGTAACCCTCTCTAAACATCAATCGTGGAGTTTAGCTGACAACCCTCCCACGGGACCGTACATCCACTAAACTCGAGGGTTGCGATCCCCTGTGTGTCGGTCAGTTACTAAGTGTTGGATGATAAAAGTCCCACATCGGCTAATTTAGGAAATGATCATGGGGTTTATAAGTGAGGAATACTAACTCCATTTGTTATGAGGCCTTTTGGGGAAACACAAAGCAAAGCCATGAGAGCTTATGCTCAAAGTAGACAATATCATACCATTGTGGAGAGTCGTGTTCGTCTAACATTGTATCAGACCCATGCCCAAAACTTAGACATGCCAAAAGATTGGTAAATCCTCAAATATCAAACAAAGAACTCCAACAGAAAAGGAGTCAAGTCTCCTCGAAGGCAGTAAAAAATGACAACAGAAAAGGAGTCGAGGAGGCCTCCTTGAAGGCAGTAAAAAATGACTAAGACTCCCCACAGGAGTCGAGCCTCGATTAAGGGAAGGTGCACTTTGTTCGAGGGGAGGTGTTGGATGATGAAAGTCCCACATCGGCTATTTAGGAAATGATCATGGGTTTATGAGTGAGAAATACTAACTCCATTTGGTATGAGGCCTTTTGGGAAAACCCAAAGCAAAGCCATGAGAACTTATGCTCAAAGTGGACAATATCATACCATTGTAGAGATTCGTGTTCGTCTAACATTAAGTCATCCTACGTGGTTCCACGTTCCCCTGCTCATGACAGATTTCTCTAGCCCAGGGGTCCTGTTTAGAACTTAGCTATCACCACTAGGTCGGGGCACAGGCCACAGTTCCCTGTCCGGCTCTACCTAGCTTAAAGATCTCAGTACCGAAGTTCTGTCTTGACGGTACGGTATCAGAGCAGAGAGGGAAGTGGAGGTTTTGGTGACACTATTCACACTGCTCAACTCCAGCGGGCTACCTACAGTTATCGTGGTGTCCTACTAGTCTTTCTAGGGCAGATTCTTGGTGGCTTAGACTTGGATTCATTCATCTCTAGGATTCTAATGCAAGGTCTCACAAACCTGTCATGGTTTGGAATACTAGGGTCTGGGTCCACTGATAATCGCTTCCCGGGCCTAAATGCACAGTATTTTAGAGGTATCCCCATTATAGGGTTCTGTCTAGCCTACATAATCTCAAGCGCCCTAGTCTAAACTCGTAGTTCTTTCCTATTCAGCAAGAAAAATAACACCCAGGCCTAAATGCACAGTATTTTAGAGGTATCCTCATTATAGGGTTCTGTCTAGCCTACATAATCTCAAGCGCCCTAGTCTAAACTCGTAGTTCTTTCCTATTCAGCAAGAAAAATAATACAAGCAATCATACACTGAAGTTAACATGCAACAATTCATGCAATATTAACAAACATGTTCAACGGGAAAATAACGTCCACCTTCACTTAGAGCGCAGATTTCACAGGTTTCCCTTCCTTCTCATGCATACATACATTATCACAATCTCAATCTAAACAGATACATAATCGCTCATATCTAGATTCCATTGATTTTCTTAATTATTTCATTTCTATGGTTTCCATTCTCATATGCTAGGTCTGGCTAGCAAAGTTTATTGGTATGATAGCATGCATCTCATTCCAAGCGGTTCCTACAAGTATTGTTCGTAGAAATTCAAATGACTACTTATGTGGTTGACGCGTGCCTTCCTAAGCTTGAATTATTCGTCGAAAAAGGTTCTAAAAATTATAGAATTTCTTTGATAGGTCCTAATTCACATAAAAATAGGATCAAAGTTGAAATCGGGACGAAAAACAAGCAAACAGAGGCTGAGCGGGTGAGAGAATAGGGTCACACGTGCCGTGCACGCACCGACACGCTCACACACGCACCAACATGCTCCCACAACACGTGCGACCTCCACGCGCAGGCCACATGCGCTGGCAGTGCCGCATTTCAAACCCTAGCGGGCGTAGACTTACCCCTCAAATTTTGTGGGCGTGACACGTGGCGCACATTGATTGGTGGAAGGTGTCGGGTTGGTTCGCAGGTTTCTGGCTCGGTTTGGCGGACGTTCGGGTCGACTCGACTCCGCGCTTAACGCGTGTCGACGGAGTGGCCGAACGCAATGTACCAGTGGAATGTCGCCACATGGCGCACGCCGGCTCCGCCGCGCTCCTTCGTTTGCGGTCGACGCGTGACGGTCTCTTTCTCTCTCCTGCGTGTGTTTCAAATTTTTAGATGTTAGCGTTTTCGCTTTTTCGATCTATTTTCTTCAGATTTTCTTATCTTTCAATCCGTAATCCATATCAACAAATTTTCCTCACAAATATTCTAGATCTCATATTCTACTTCTACAATATAGTTTTCCTTGATTTTTTTCTTATGCACAGAATCAGTTTAAGTCGTCCAAAGATATGAAAAAAATCACGTTTTCTGTTCCGGATCGGTTTACCCGAACTTCGCCTAAACTCTGATTTTCGTCCAGAAACTTCAAGAAACCTGTGTATCTTCTTTTAGTTACATACCTCAGAAACTACATATCTAACGCTCAAGAAACTCCTCAGATCTAGATAAAATCAAAACAAGAAGTTCGGAATCTTACTTTGTTTGTTCTCGGATTTTCGTACTGGAATGGGTGAATCCACCACCCAAACTCCTTTTCGAGCACTGAGAGAAGTCTTGCTTCGAAGTTTCTTGCCTTGGATTCGATCTCCAACGACAGATCTAAGGTGGTTTGGCTTCTCTACTCTTCATCTCTCACAAACCCTAGCTTCTTTTCCTTTCTCCTTTCTCATCTCTCTTTCTCTTTTTTTTTTTCCCTTTTTTTTCCTCTCTCTTATGCCCAACAAACCAGACCCCACAAAAAATTACCCTTTTGCCCCTATGTTGACCATGACCGTTCTTTTTTTCTTTATTTAAAATCTCGAGTATTATAATATCCTTAACACCCCCTCCTCGACAAGCGTTGAATTTGAATGAACATGAAGTTTGGATTTTAAAAGTTTAAAGAGGGGTCAAGAAACACTTTTTATGAAGATGTTAGCAACCTGGTTCGGAGGAGACGTCTTGTTAAACTACATATTATTTTCTTGATCATCAAAAATTGCAAAGGGATCGTCGGGCAGTGGCAATGGTGCCTTAGCTTTGACAAGAATATGTCTTAAAGTACGAAGTAGGAGGGAAAACCAAAAGGAAGAAGGAGAAGAAAGAGAGAGGGACATTTGAAAGGCCTTGGTCAAGCGTGGAATAGAACAAAAAAAAAAAAAAAAGAGAGAGAGAGAGTGAGAGAATGGAAAATTATCATAAGAATTCCATGGGTGTGGACCATAGAGACTCAAGGTAGAGGCTTCAAAATTATGACAATGACTCTATTTTGAGAAAAGAGCAAGAGACCGGGAGAGAGGGTTCGATGATGGCAATGAAGAAGAGATGAAGAAGAGGGCAGAAAATGAGAGTGCGGACCCTAGGGTGTATTTTAGACGAATAAAGAAAGAGAGGGGTGGAGACGGAGTGAGGTAGGGTGGAGACGGAGTGAGGTCTACGCCTTGTGGATTGGTTTGCTATCGAGAAAATGAGCACGAGTAAGAATATCTCGAGTATATTTTAACTGAATAACAAAGAGACCATCAGGAGTGGGTAAAGAGCCACAATGATAGATCCATAGATAATGCTTCTGTTCAAAGCACCACCATTGTGAGGAGTGGAGGCCGGCAACGAAATAGTACGCGGAGCCAATGGAGAAGTACCTGACACCATAGTAGATGGTAAAGTTTCAATGGATGGAGAGGGAACCACGTCCCTCGGAGTAAGGGATGAAGACAGTGTTGAAGCTAGAAGAGTCGCCACAGTGGGGGAAGGAGCTGGTTTTGGCGAGGAGGTCGATGACAACTTGGTTGGCGAAGAGGCCAATGCAGCGCCCGAATTCCGAATGTAAATCTTTGCAGAAGGTCGTTGGGCTTGTTGAGATTCTGTATATTTCTAATTAGAACGCTAATGAGGATCCTGAGGTTAGGGTGAAAAACTTGAACAACTCATCTCAAAGAAATAGTATATGTCAAATTATCGCGGGATAGATAAAACTTATCTAACGAGAAATAGATCGTGTATATATATATTTTATCCAAATGACATTTGTTAAGGAGATAGACTTGAAATTTTTTGGTCTTTGCTTGCACAAGTTCAAATTTGTTGCTCTTGGTTTGAAAATATCTTTAAGACCGACATAATGAAAGACGAAATAAAATAAATAAACTTTTAAATTAAAAACATCTTATTCTAGCCTAACGTACGTGTTCGAAAATGTAACGACTCTAAATTTCTACTAACGTCTCATGCTCTGCTAATATGCGGAATATAACTCTTAAAGAAATATCATTTCTAGTATAAATATCGAAAACATTTAAACAGTTTCATCTCTAGAAAACACTGCCATGGTATTATATGTTTCATACAAAATATTGAACTTCAAGATAAAACAGATACAAAATAATTTAAAACAATGAAAAGCAAGACCCATTCTACCCTATGCAAGTATCATGGTCTCTGCTCACGATGTCGTCGTCATCCGTACATGGGCACCTTGCCTTTACCTGAAAAGTGATGTGACACACAACCTGAGTATTTCGAAGAATACTCAGTAAGTGATCCCATTACAGGGGTCGTGCTAAATGCAAACACATGCAATCATGCTCTAGGGACCTATCTCTATCTAGGCCTCCAGTCCGGACTACTATGGATGTGTATTACTTCGCTACACACGACCCACACATGTGAGTGCGAATCTCTAGGCGGTTCACACACTCCCTAGACCCTCTTTGGTAAAGCTAGTTGTTTATAGCGATGTCCAAAGGTCAACAAACCCCTAGTGTCATGCTCACCATGATCACCCTCATCATCATACTGTGTGCAGCTGCACTCATCATCTCAAGCGGAAGTATCCATATGCTTATACACACAACCTGCATGAGATCCCTATAATTCTCTTCTTAACATCTCTTCTGACACAATTCTAGTCTCATCTCTATATTACATTTAGTAATACATACTTATTAGATATTTATATTAATATTGTTATTCATGCTCTTAGGGTTGTGTTCTAGGTTGATCTATCGATATGATGCAAACATGGCACTCATCATCAAACAACATGCTTAATATGAAAAACGGCATCATATTAAGGTAAGTAGCAAAAACATCATAATCATCATACTGCCATTAATTGTATCAAGCATGTCAAGTACGTCATACATCATCATAAAATCTATGTACATCATCATGCATCATAACTCATACACCATAGCTCATACATCATTATATAACTAGCGCACGACATAATACAATACAACTCATAAATCATAAATATCGCATGCATCATCGTACATCATCGCAAACAATCATATATTATAGCTCATACAATTTCTAGCCTATCCTATAGTAAGGCCACTTACTTGGTTGGCCTTAGGCGGCGTACTCTCTAATTATAATGTTAGCTCTCGTTCCTCAAGAGCTACTCCAAATGTTTTTGGGATTAGTTTCCTATCACATTCACCTTTTGTTAGTATTTCACAATTAATATTAGTCCAATTAATAAATGTGAAATATGACACTAAAAAACCCTCAATTACCTTAATCGAGCCCGAAAATAGGTTCGAAAGGGTTAGAACGGTGGAAAATGGGCTAAAATTGGGAATCCTGAGTCGGATACATCGAGGAGTCATCGAAAGCTGAGTCGAGCCGAAGGGGTTGTTTTTGTCGCAAGTCAACACATGACAACACCAAGGAGACAGACTTGAAATCTGTTGGGCTATGCCCGCGCAGGTTCGAACCCTACTGTTTACGTCATAAGAAGGAGGACTTACAAGTGTGTTTTTCAAAAATTTAGAGCCTCGAACTAGTGGAAAAGCAAGCTCCACATGGACTTTAGGTACCTAATACATGTGGGGATCACTAGGATGAGTTTGGATGCGAGCATATCTTGGCTTAAGTTGTTAGAATATGCATTGGCATAAGTTGTTAGAATATGCATGACTAAGAATCAAATTGAGTAGTTTTGGACTCATATTGAGTAGCATGCCTTGGTCAAGGAGACAGACTTAAAATTTGTCGGGCTATGCCCGCATAAGTTCAAACCCTGCTCTCGACGTCCTAAGAATGACTTCTTCCTCGGGGGTGTGAGTATATGCAACCTAGCCTACTTGTTAGGCTCTTTCTGCATCCTTATCTTAGTTAGGTATCCACGATCTTATCTCTGAGTTCTAGTAAGGCTTGAGGGAGGTGAGGTGCGAGTGACCTCACAAGTAAATCTGAGGGATCGTATGGCTGGATCTAAGTAACTCTATCTGAACATGCTTGAGGGAGGTTAGCTGACGATCCTCTAGAGATTCATTCATCTCTAGAATTCTCGTGCAAGATCTCATAAATCTTTCGGGGTTTGGGTCCGCTGGCACTCACATCGCGGGCTCAAATGCAAGGTATTCTAGAAGTATTCCCACTCTAGGGTTTTGTTTAGCCAGGCTTAAATGCACAGTATTCTAGAGATATCCCCACTTTAAGGTTTTGTCTAGCCTACTTAATCTCAAGAGACGTGAGGGCTAGTTTTTTTACCATTTTGAGTTTTCACTACTATTTTAATACTCACCTTAAGTCAACATGAATGACGACTTACGAGTTTGTTTTTCAAAAATTTAAAGCCTCGAGCTAGTGGAAAATAAAGCACCACATGGATTTAAGGCACGTAATACTTGTAGGGATCACTAAGACAAGTTTGGAAGCGAGCATGACATAGGTTGTTAGAATATGCATTACTAGGAATCAAATTGAACAGTTTTGGACTCGGATTGAGTAGCATGCCAATTTAATTATTAAAAACAAAAATATTAATTATCATAAATGTCGATATGTCCGAGTGGTCAAGGAGACAGACTTGAAATCTATTGGGCTATGCCTGCGCAGGTTCGAACCCTGCTGTCGACGACTTAAGAATGATTTCCAAATAGGTATAAATAGGTATATAAGACAAAGTTGGGAAGATACATCATTTTATCGTTTTCACTGCTATTTCAATACTCACCTTGTCGACGACTTAAGAATGATTTCCAAATAGGTATAAATAGGTATATAAGACAAAGTTGGGAAGATACATCATTTTATCGTTTTCACTGCTATTTCAATACTCACCTTAACTCAACATGTTTTCACTGCTATTTCAATACTCACCTTAACTCAACATGAAAGAAGACTTACCAGTTTTTTTGGACTCATATTGAGTAATATGCCTATATAATTATTAAAAACAAATACTAATTATCATAAATGTCGATATGTCCGAGTGGTCAAGGAGACAGACTTGAAATCTGTTGGGCTATGCCCGCGCAGGTTCCAACCCTGCTTCGACGACCTAAGAGTGACTACCAAAAAATAGGTGTATAGGACAAAGTTGGGAAGATATATCATGGACTTACGAGTTTTTTCGGACTCATATTGAGTAGCATGCCTATTTAATTATTAAAAACAAAAATATTAATTAGCATAAATGTCGATATGTCCGAGTGGTCAAGGAGACAGACTTGAAATCTGTTGGGCTATGCCCGTGTAGGTTCAAACCCTACTGTCGACGATCTAAGAATGACCTCCAAATAGGTGTATAAGACAAAGTTGGGAAGATACATCATGGGCTGCCAAAAAATAGGTGCAAAAAATAGGTGTATAGGACAAAGTTGGGAAGATATATCATGAACTTACGAGTTTTTTCGGACTCATATTGAGTAGCATGCCTATTTAATTATTAAAAACAAAAATATTAATTACTAT